TAATGGTATTTTCTATCATCTATTAGCGATGAATTGTTATCGTTTAATTAATGATGTTGAATTCGGATTCTAAATTAATATTTAGTTACATTCAATAAATCGTACAACGCGCAGACCTATGTCTAGTGATAGATAAATAACCTAACATAATATTAAAATTTATAAAGCAAAGAAAAATAATTAACCTAAAAGGAAAGAATCCTCCTCCAAGGTTTCAACTTTTAACTTAATATAAAAACCTTAATGTAGAATAGAAAGAAAAAAAGAAAATATCTGAGACTAGAATTAAAAATTGAATTATAAAAACATGCGATCATAAACAAAGAAGAATAACAAGTAAGAGATGGTAAAATGAAAGAAAAAGAAAATTGAGAATCTATCACCTAATATGTTCTTGGGAAAACCAAGCTTTGAACATAATTCATAGCGTAGACCTGAAATATCTTGTTGGTAAGTTTACTATGTTTTACTGTATTATCTCTCCCATCATAAATAATTGCTTGAAGAGTTGTGGTGCTGCTAATCACGAGTAGACAACCATTCTCAAACATGCACAACGGTTGCACAAAAGACAAATACTTAGAAGTAATTTGGAGATCTTGACGTAAAGACAAGTTCAGTAATGGAGTCCAAGATTTTTGATTCCCAAACTCCTTCATTTGCCATATGCAAAATCTGTTTCTCTTGGAATTGACAAAAGAAAGACTCAAACAATCCTTCAAATGCAAAAGCCGAAAGTCGTGTCCTTCAAAAATGCGAGGCAGCAAAAATTGTGTGTACGTCTCATTCCCAAGATCAAGTGAAATCATAACCAGTTCACTGGATATATGATGTGTTGTGACTATCCAATTAAGAGTACCATTTAGGTATACTCCACAAGAATTTTGACTTCGATTTAAATCATCATAAGGAGGGAGACTTTGAATCTTTCTCCAGCAATTATTGTCACCTAGGTTGCAAACTTTGACCTCACTGAGTTTCTGTGAACCATGCATAGAATGCTCAAAGACAATTACAACCTTGTACGTATCACTTAGATTGTCATAGCCAAACCCAAACCATTTTATGAAGTCATATCTGTTTGGATTGATTGGAATTATATAATGTGGGACTTGAAATGTTTTTCTAATGGCAGGGTTCCATAAGAGAAACTTGTATGTGCGTGTGGAAGAGGTGTTAGACAAAGCGAACAAAAGGACCAACCCATTGCAGGAGCCAGCAACCTTGTACTTCTCTTCTTGCTTTAGGGCAATGTCAGAAAGAGGACCCTCTAATAAAGAACGAAGAGAGCAAGGAAGGGCAAAGTCATGTTTCGGAACATGATATATATATATATATATATATATATATATATATATTGAAATTTATGAAAATAAGAATAGTTTAATTATCAATTTATTATTGTTCAATTTTATTAAAATATAATTACATTCCAATAGTTCAATTGATGAAAATAACATTTTATATAAATATCAATAATGTGAGAATAAATATTATAATTAATTGAAATTCAAATTGTGATAGATGTACAATATTATTTTCTCTATTTGGGTAGAGACAATGTTTAACATTGCAAAATATGCAAGCAAATTGAATATTATTATGCAGATTAACTAAAATGGAATGTTGATTGTTAAAATGTCAGTTATAGAAAATAATAAATAATATTTAATTATTATTTATTATTTATTAAAATTAATGACATAATAAGTAAAAAGAGAGGGATTTATAGTGATTATGTAGAGGTAATTCAGAATGACACAAACAATTTTGTTGACATGATAACATATTATAGATATTTTAAGCATACGTGTTAACATTATACAAAGTAGCTTGACTTTCATATTATAAATAGAGAAGAGACAATGTTTAACTTTGCAAAATATGAAAATAAATTGAATATTATTATGCAGATTAACTGAAATGGAATGTTGATGGTTAAAATGTCAGTTATAGAAAATAATAAATAATATTCATTTATTATTTATTAAAATTAATGACATTGTAGTTAAAAAAAAGGATTTATAATTATTATATACAGATAATTCAAAATGACAAATAAATAATTTTATTAACATGACAGTATATTAAAATTATTTTAAATTAACGTGTTAATACAAAATAACTTATTTTTCATATAGCTTATTTTTCATATTATAAATAGATAGATACGACAATTAGGGGTGGGTATACGGACCGGTCCGGCCCGTTTAAGGCCCGGTCCGTAAAACCCGCGTTTTATACGGGCCGGATAAGTCCGGTCCGTAAAATAAATGGACTTATTTTTTAAGTCCGTATCCGGCCCGCTAAAATCCGCGGATAACGGACCGGTCCGCGGGCCTAAATAATGGTTTAAAAAAATAAATTTTTTAAAAATAAAAATACATAAAATTAGAAGAAAAAAATATTTTTTATTTATAAGCTAAATTTTATCATACTAAAATTTATCAATAGTTAAAATGGTTTAAAATACTAAATATTAAAATATTAAAATAAAAATAATTACAAATACTTAAATAATAGTACCAAACTTTCAATAATAAAAGCATCAAAATGTCCTTCTGGCTAGCAGTGAGTATTCCTTGACAAGCCCCTCTAGGCTTTACAAGTATTCTTTCCCTAGCCTCTTCAGGCTTTACAAATAATAGATAGATGATTTGGTTTGAGTGTTTGGTTTACTCTCACAGAGAGGATACAAGAATTTCTAAAGTCACTAAGGTTTGTGTTCCTAAGTTACACTCAAAACTCCTTAGTCTACAGAGATAATTACAATATTGTACATTTAACTCTATATGCTCTATCTCTGGTTTCATTACTTCATGGGCTTGATATCACTCTTCGCCAACCTTTCCAGGTTTGAAGTCATGACATATATATAGTCTTGTAAAATTTGCCCGTTGCAAGTGTCCATTGAAGCAAGATGTAGTCGTTCATGACTAGTTTGATCTTTCTAGGTTGTGCTTGACACACCTTCGTCTGATGTTTGATTCATTATCATCTGGTGCACATTTCATATTCCATCTATCATTTGAATTGCTTTGTCTAATCTTCGTCTGGTACTTGAAGCTTTTGTTTGTGGTCTGTATTATCTTAAGCTTGATCATTTTCCTTCTTGTGCTAGGCTTGGCTTCGTTTGACCTTTCCATCTAATGCTTAAAGATTTTACCCTTTATCTTGGTTCTGGTGTAGGAAGTGGCACATGCTCTACTCTTCATCTTGCTTGTACTTATGTTTTTCTGAAACACTAACACACTTGTTAGAAATAACAACATATATTATATTTGTCTCATTCAAATCCTTGCTAGGAATTGCTTCGTCTGACTTAACAATCTCCCCCTTTTTGATGATGAAAAATATAATTGATCAAATTGTTTTAGATAAAACTAAATTAGAGTGATTCTTAGTTCATAGCAAGTTCGCATATTGTTAATGTATTGCAACTCTCCCCCTTAGTATATGCTCTCCCCTTACTAGATTGTTTCTTAGTCATTTTTTATTCATGTGTCATATTTGATCAAATTTTTCTTTTCTATTTCTCCCCCTTTGTAATCAATAAAAAGAAATAGATGAATTTCTAAGAGAAATTTGACACCAGAAAAAGTAATATAACAAGCGACATACCAAGTGAGATCATACATATCCAAATCAGAACTTTGATCAAAGCATTCCATACATCAAAACAATAAATCTGGATGAATAATGTATATTGAATTTAATTGAATTGAATGACAAATGTATACAGTGAGAAGAATCTATACAACCAAAATAAGTGGAAAATACATCAGATTATTCTCCCCCTAACTTGGCTATTCCTACACATTATTTTATCTTCCCCAAGGTGATCATTAAGAAGGAGGTGGATCCTTGGAAAGTTGGGACGCCATCAAGTTGAACAAAGGGTCCAACTTCCTATCCAGGTTTGCTCTAAACTTGTTGAATGTCTTTATAGATACATATTGTTGTGCTGATTCAGATGCAGCTGGAAGTTCCTCAAGAGGGGTAGACGCTGAAATTGGCTTAGTGGAGATAGGGTCAGATATGGTTGATTCAGACTGTGCCATTTCAGAAAGAGAATCCCAAGGCATAGGCATGCCTGGTTTCCATGAGGGAGTGTCCTTGCACCAGTCGTAGATAGGAGATTTGTACCATGAGTCTATAATGGCCTTCCATTCATCCTTGTATAGATCCAAGTTGAAAAGTGCAAAATGAATGAAGTACTCCTTGCTGAGAGCATCCAGGTCTGGCTCACGTCTTTTCTTTTGAAGAAAGGCGACTGATGTATCATTGAAATGCATCAGTTTGCATGGGGTCATCCAGCGATACCCACGCAACATGAGCGTCTTTGCCTTTTCTTCGTCTATAAGACCAGACAAACCTGCCTCTTGACTGCACTTGTGCATGAAGTTTTGATAGAGCTTTTCAGCATCATCTTCAGTGCATTGAAGTTCATTTGTAAGGTCTTGTTGCTTGTCCAAGCTTACCCCTTGATAATAACGAACCTTAACCCTTGATGGTTTGGCCATTAGTCCGAGATGAAGTGTAGGATCCTTCATCTTGTTCTGATTGATTGAAGGAAGACAAGGGCAGATGCGGTCAGGGTGGATAAAAATTTGGGTGTCTTGTGTGGTGTATAGGGAAGGAGGTATGTATAGCTATATTGGTGTATCTATACACAGGCACAAATGGCCAATTATTGCGAGGTCAGACGTTGAGAAGGAGCGAACGTGACCTATATTTATGCAGAAAGAAAGAATCGTCATCTTCTAGAAGTAACTAGAGGTCTTCTTTTTCAAATGTCTGTTCCAAAAAATTATTGAGGAGAAGTTGTGTTAACTGCCACATATCCCATCAACAGGTTACCCACCCGTATCTTAAATGGCATTAGTCCTATAGAGTCTCTATTGTCTTTTGTTCCCTCTTGCCCTCTAATACCGAGTCTACCTAGTCGAGTCTTTGGATGTACTATTTTTGTTCACTCTCATCATCCTAATCATAGTAAATTAGATCCCAAAGCTCTTAAATGTGTCTTTATTGGTTATCCTTCTAATAAAAAAGGGTATAAATGTTATCATCCTCAGAGTCGTCACGTCTTTATCACCATGGATGTCACCTTTTAGGAAACACAATCCTTTTACGCCAGTGCCAAACCCAAACCATTTTATGAAGTCATATCTGTTTGGATTGATTGGAATTATATAATGTGGGACTTGAAATGTTTTTCTAATGGCAGGGTTCCATAAGAGAAACTTGTATGTGCGTGTGGAAGAGGTGTTAGACAAAGCGAACAAAAGGACCAACCCATTGCAGGAGCCAGCAACCTTGTACTTCTCTTCTTGCTTTAGGGCAATGTCAGAAAGAGGACCCTCTAATAAAGAACGAAGAGAGCAAGGAAGGGCAAAGTCATGTTTCGGAGTTCTGTAACGTATTAGGAAGTTGGTGTTGTTGGGTGATCTTTGAAGGTGCAGTTTCACGAAACTTGGATCTGAGATGAGGGATTTAAACGACTTGCTCACGCATCTGCATTGCATAAGAGATCTCACTGGAAGCCATGACAGAATTTCAACCATGAGTTCTTCACACAAGAATGACAGTGCCATGTTGATCTTGTGGTGAGATTTTGGATTTCAAAGGCAACAACACAACCACTTGTGCCAATCACTATTTTATAGCCAAAAGTTGACAAATCTTTACTGATATTTATCCAAAATAAAGCAGATAAAGACCGAATATTAGAGATTACTTTATCTTCGATTTGTTGTTTGTTATCACGATTTTTAATTGATTTATGTCAAAATTGTAGATAAAGGGCGAATGTTCTAAATTAATCTCAAAACTTTGTTAATAAGATCTTCATTAGGAAACACTTTTCCTAGGGATGCAAGATGATTGATTATATGTGTAAATCTCTTTTGCATGTCTTGAATACTTTCATTTTGATTCATTCTAAATAATTCATATTCATGGATGAGAGTGTTTCTCCTAGATCTTTTAACATCATTTGTGCCTTCATGTGTTATTTTTAATGTGTCCCACATTTCTTTTGCATTTTTACAATTTGAAATTCTGAAGTATTCATCTATTCCTAATGCAAAAGTAATTATATTTTTTGCTTTCAAATTGTATTGAACTTTTCTTCTATCATCATCACTCCATTGATCTTTGGATCTTGACGTAAAGACAAGTTCAGTAATGGAGTCCAAGATTTTTGATTCCCAAACTCCTTCATTTGCCATATGCAAAATCTGTTTCTCTTGGAATTGACAAAAGAAAGACTCAAACAATCCTTCAAATGCAAAAGCCGAAAGTCGTGTCCTTCAAAAATGCGAGGCAGCAAAAATTGTGTGTACGTCTCATTCCCAAGATCAAGTGAAATCATAACCAGTTCACTGGATATATGATGTGTTGTGACTATCCAATTAAGAGTACCATTTAGGTATACTCCACAAGAATTTTGACTTCGATTTAAATCATCATAAGGAGGGAGACTTTGAATCTTTCTCCAGCAATTATTGTCACCTAGGTTGCAAACTTTGACCTCACTGAGTTTCTGTGAACCATGCATAGAATGCTCAAAGACAATTACAACCTTGTACGTATCACTTAGATTGTCATAGCCAAACCCAAACCATTTTATGAAGTCATATCTGTTTGGATTGATTGGAATTATATAATGTGGGACTTGAAATGTTTTTCTAATGGCAGGGTTCCATAAGAGAAACTTGTATGTGCGTGTGGAAGAGGTGTTAGACAAAGCGAACAAAAGGACCAACCCATTGCAGGAGCCAGCAACCTTGTACTTCTCTTCTTGCTTTAGGGCAATGTCAGAAAGAGGACCCTCTAATAAAGAACGAAGCATGCAACTATACTGTGACAATAAGTCTGCCATGAGCATTGGCCATAATCTAGTACAACATGATAGGACCAAATACATTGAGATTGACAGACATTTCATCAAAAATAATCTAGACAGAGGCTTTGTGATTACAACTCATGTTCCTACAGAACTTCAGATAGCAGATATTTTTACAAAAGGGCTCCCTCAGGGTAGATTTCAAGATCTTGTAGGCAAGTTGGGAATGATTGATATTCATTTACCAACTTGAGGGGGAGTGTTGTAATTAGAGGAAAAATCTTCCTAATTAGAGAAAATATCTATAGAATCTTCTAGGATATTTTTCCTTATTTCCTTATTTTATAAGATTAGATTGTTACAAATAGGTATAAGGAAAATGTAATATGTATGAATAATAATAATAATAAAATTATTCTCTTTTTCAAGTCTTTCATGTGATAGTTTTATATAGTTGTGCTTGATTGGTACTTAAGGTACATAATTTACTCTTACTATATATATATATGGAGCATATTAGGTGAAAGAGTATTTTATTGTGAGAGATGAGATGGTTAAAATATAATCCTTAGATTAATTTAATGAATCATATTAAATTAGATTAAATGGTCCCCATAAGCTGTCGTGGTTGACCAATGCCAATGCCACCGCCGGATAACCCAATCGAACCCCCCTAAATCGCCACGAAAGGGTCCTCATCTTCCAAAGGAAGCTTCTCATACGTAGCGTTGCTAAACGAAGCTATAATATTATAACCACTGGCCTCCAAGCAATCCTCCAAGCAATCAGCGTTCCCACCACACTTCTTCCAACCACCTAGCCTTGTCCTCTGGCCAGGTATACCATCAAATCGGAGGCATCAGAGGTGACAGGAAGGAGCCGATGAGGGACAAAATCTCAAACCTCCCACGAAGAGTGACAATAACGTTGAAAGAAGTCGATTTGCAAAACGTGACGTTGATGGTCTATTTATTTATTTTTAATATGATTCTCAATTATTATGATTATGCAATTTTAGTCTATTCATTCACTTAATAACATCTAATAACTTTTGTTTAAATCTCTTTATCAATGTTTTAAGTTTTAAGCAAGTTATTAGCTCAATTAAGATATTAAATTAGTGATTCAGTAGTGAATCCAAAAAATCACTAATTGAATCACATAAAATATAATTAATATGTATATCAAAAATTGATACATGAATTCTTATACTCCATTGGTTCAATAAAAATCATACTATTTTAATTTCTTCAAAAGTACAATGTCTTTGATTTTTTAATTGTTTTTTTATTTTATTCCTCAATGAGTAAATCATAATATATAAAAACTTAAATACACAGTTTTAAAATGTTACAAATGAGTTTCACAATTGCGGGATGGTTGTGCTAGTGTCATAATATAGTGGCGGGAGTTGAAAGACTTATGGTTAAAATCTAATGAAAATTTACTAAAAATTAAATTTTCATATATTTTTTTCAAAAATGAATATAAAAGTGTTTTAAAATTTAGCTTAAAACAATTTTAACTCCATTTTTATCAAATACATTTTATTTTAAAATTTGTATATAAAAACTAAAAAGCCTAAAAACTCAACCACTCCAAATGGAGAAGAAGTCAATTGACCATTTTGGGTCCCATTTAAAAGAAATATATATGCGACCCTCAACCTCATCCAGGGATAACATCCCAAAACGTGTCCAATCAGGAGGCGACGGAGAATAGTTTGAATTAATATGTGGAATTAAATATCATAGTTTGAATCCAATGTCATATAGTTTTAAATAATTTATTCAACCAGAAAAAGAAAGATCAATTTGTTAAATTATCATAATTTTTTTATCTCTTAAATTTTAAATTAAATTATCATAGTACTGATCCATTATATTACAATATCCGAAGACGAAATAGTTAGCTCGGGAGTTTTGATTTGGTTCTTATAATTGGAAGTTCAATTTATTTGATTTATAAAATTTCAAACTAAAAATTAACTCTTAATACGTAAAGATCAAGACTTAAAAGTGTGTACATATAAAAAGAGGTTTTTTTTTTTTTTTTTTTTTTACATATATAATAGGAGGGACTAATTCCTAACAGTTTTAAAACTATAAAATCTTCAAACTAAAAATGCAGAGATTAAAACCAAATAAACAAAAGTTTTTTTTACACCAAAATAAAAAAAGGTAGAAATTAAATATTTAAGCCATTAATTAGTTACATATATTTGAAAGTTCTTCCTCTTTCTCTCGACTTGCTTCTGGTGTGCGTGAGTATGTTTTATTAATTATACATGAACCACGGGTATTGATCTGGTTCGGTTTTAATATAGAAGTGGTTTCCTGAATTTATAATGGAAGTTGCTACGGTACCCTTAAAGATTGAGGGGTTTCAGTATATTCTACCATATAAATTTATAAAAGATTTTTAAAAATATTAATTTAATTATAAAATAAATAATTCAAATTATATTTATAAAATAAAAAGTAAGACAAAATTATAGAGATTAAAATTATAAGATTTCAATAATGTTATAAAACATTAAAAAAGAAAAGAATTAATAAATAATGAAATAAAAAAATTATTATAATATAAAAATAAAAAAATTTAAGATAAAAAAACATAAATATACTTAAAAAACTATTAAAATAAAACTATTTAAATATATATTAATATTATTACAAAGAAAATTAAAACATATAAAATAAAAATAAATGAATAAATAATTTTAAAAAATGAAAGAATAAAATATCATAAATATTATATAAATAAATCCTAAAGCCTAAACATTAAATAAATAAATAAATAATAAATAATAAAAATAAAAGTTTATTAAAATTACAATATATAAATTCAAAAATTTAAAGTGAAGACAAAAATATACTTAAAAAATTATTAAAATTAAACTTTTTAAATATATAATATTATTATTACAAATCAAATTAAAACATATAAAATAAAAATAAAATGATTAAATAATTTACAAAATAAAAGAATAAAATATTATAAATATTATTTAAATAAAATATTAAAACATAAATATAAAATAAAATTATAATTATAACTATACCGGTACCCTCTAAAATAATATGGATATTGGAGAATTTCTCATTTATAATACTTTAATTCAGTTTTTAATACAAAACTATTTCATTGAATCTATAAACAGTTTGATTTAGTTTGAGATTGACTTTTTGCTTGGCAACACCGAAATATAATCAAAATACAGACGAGGGAGAAAAAATTAGAAAAGAAATTAAAATGAACAGTTTTTGAAATTAAACGATAATAAGAGGGAGAAAAGAACTCCACACCTTTTTATTTTCTCTCTCAAATTGGAAATGAATAGTGTTTATTTATATTATTATTTTTCTTCTTTTTCTTTTACATTTCACTTAAACAAAACATTTTTGCTTTTCTTCTATTTAAAACTATTTCCATTCATTCTATATATATCACTCTTTTTTACTTCTACCCACCATATTTGTTTTACTTATTTTGGACCATCACAAAAAGACAAAATCATCTATAGAGACACGAGACATCCATTAAAAATAATTTCTCTTTCCTATTTCGATTTTGTAATTAATTAAATAATTAAAAAAAATTGTCACTTAGTGGATGCCATATATATCCTTTAAATATTTATCAAGCATGGAGTGTCCAAATTAAAATAGAACCTCAAAAGTAAACGGTTCAGTCAGTTCTTTGATCTTCAAAATCATTTTTCGGTTGGTTAATTTTTTTTCTTTCAATTTTAGTCAAAAATTTTTTTGGACAAAACGATAGAGACATAATTGTTTTACTCACATACATATATATCTTTGGACTAAGGATTAATTCTTAAAACTAGCTTACGAGATCTATTTAAAGAATTAACCTTTCATAATAAATATTGTTTTAAATATAATCATACTTTAAAAAATAAGATTATATATTTATTAATTATATCGTTATGGATAAAATTTCTTTTAATTTGAATCTCTTCCTTAAAATTAAAAATAAAAATGAATATAATTATTTAAAGATTGAATTAAAATATAATAATTTTAATATTAAAATATAAAATGATGATACAAATGATATGATATGACTGTACCAAAATGTTGTTGAATAATAATTGGTACCGAAGAATATGCATGAGCTCTCGAATTCATTGACTCTTGCTTTAAAATATTGTGGAGAAATGTCTACAAATTTCATTTTCAGGAGTTATGCACTTACCCAAAGAATAATGAGAGATATAAGTATTTGTGACTCACATGCTTCCTTGACTTGATGCCATCTCTCCCTGCCGTCTTACACTAAAATAATCCTTCGCAGATGGGAAAGAAGCCGCGTGTTTGTTTTTGATTAGAGAAAAGTCAAATAAATTTTTTTAAAAAGAAAACTAGTTTGACAAAAAGGGACATGAAAGTGTAATGCAGTTTCGTGCGTGCGTAAGTACATATGGTGGAATACACAAGAGAATCTGGAGAAACTATATGAAGAACTGCAGCAAAAATCCATCTATATATCCTCTACGGTAGCGTTGTGTCGTGTAACATCAACAGAAGTAACAGAACCATGCTTTCCAATTTCTTCAACCCCATCTTCCTTTGTATCCTTATTAGCCTTTTCAATTTCCCAACCACCAAAGCACGGGACGCCACCGATGCTATTGGCTATGTGTGTAGTATAAACAACGAATCCAGTGCCAACAGCGCCTATGAAGAGAACCGCCGGATCCTGCTGTCTTCCTTATCTTCGAAGGCCACCCACAAGACATTCTACAACGACACAGTGGTGGGAACAAACTCATCTGACACTGTATATGGCATGTTCATGTGCAGGGGCGATATCGACCTAGCCTCTGACCTCTGCATACAGTGCGTGGGGAACGCAACCAACAAACTATTCTCAGATTCAGTTTGTTCCTCCTCCAAAGTGGCTGTCACTTGGTACGATAACTGCATGGTTCGGTATTCCAACGTTAGTTTCTTCTCCACAATGGACACCGATCCCGGAATTTCCCTATCCAACGGGGCTAACATCTCCTCCGACGCAGAAATCTTCAATAATTTGTTGGCCAACACCATGAGGAACACTGCAAATGAAGCAGCGAATACTAGCAATAGGTACTCCACAAAGGAAGCAATTTTATCTCAATATCAGACTCTCTATTGTCTTGCTCAGTGCACACAAGATCTGTCAACCCAAAACTGCAGTGACTGTCTTGAATATGCCATATCGTCTATTCCAGGCTGCTGTGATGGAAAGATGGGAGGGAGAGTTCTGTTTCCCAGTTGTAACATTAGGTATGAACTGTACCCTTTCTACAACAACATCACGGATGAGGAACCACAAGGACTGGTTCCTGAAACAAAGTATTCACACACAGATTCTGAATATTCCGAAGATCCTGGCTATATTTTCCACAACTGCTCAACCAACAAAAAGTTGAACGACAATGGTTTCCAATCAGACATCGAGACCCTCTTCTCTGACATGGCTTCCAACGCCAGCGGTGGCGGTGGCAATAAATACAAGATACAATCGGGAACAGTGCAAGGACTGTTCACGTGTCGTGGCGACCTTTCTCCTAGGCTGTGTGAGCAATGCGTCCGAAACGCAACGGAGAAAATAGCCTCTGACTCCGAGTGTGATTTATCTACGGAAGGTGTGATTTGGTACAACCACTGCTGGCTTCGCTACTCCACTCGCTCCTTAACATTGGAAACAAGTCCGAGGTTTGTGGATTTGAATCTCAGCGACTCCCATCCCTTGCAAACGTCTGTTGCCAGTAAACTGTCGAATAAAATAGCTGCGATAGCGAACGACACGGGGGACATTGGTAACAAATACCAAACTCAAACATTAGTGTTGAATGATAAACAAACGGTGTATATTGTTGCTCAATGCACGTTGGATCTCTCTAGCACCGATTGCGGTGGCTGCCTAAATGATGTCATTGGTTCAGCCATTGTATGGGCTCGTTTGGGAAGCGTAGGTGGACGAGTTCTGTATCCTAGCTGTATTCTACGCTTTGAAATGTTCAAGTTTTACGATTTGACTGCCTCTCCACCACCGCCACCGCCAGGTTTTTATATTTTCACCATATTCTTTTTTCCACACCAAACCTTCTTTACATAATTTTCAACATATCTTTCATATATCTTAAATCTACGTTTGAGGACTAAAATATACTGGATATCAAATAACTTAATTTATATTATGATGGATGGTTCTAACTTGACATATAATATATCGATCCCTCAGTCGATGGAGTAATTGGAAAGCATTGGTGGTCCGTTTCATGCTATGTAGCATAGTAGCAGCAGCTTTGAATCCATCTTCTCATTTCGTTAATTATCCAAAACTATAGCCGTCAAATATTTCGTAATGGGCCGGGCTACAACATTAATGTTTGACCTTCGTTCACCATAAGTGTTAACATATTTTATTGCCGGCTTTTGGATGTTAGTGCTACATTTTGGCGTATCTGCGTTATGTAGACTTTGTGCCACAAAATTATTCATTTATTTAAAAAATATTTAGGTTTTATTTTGGCTACATATTTCGTTTAATTAGCTTCTTTTTTTCTTCAATTCAATATGATCTAATTATATATTCATTTGATGTAGGAAATGGTTCATCACGAACTGTCATCTTGATTGTTACCTTCAGCATTATTGTATCAGGGATACTTTTCATCTTTGGTTGTTATTTGATACGAAAGAAAGTTGGAAAGAATAATAAAACTATTCTCCAAGAAAATTGTAAGTATATTAAAAATAAAAAAAGAGAGGCAATTTTAATACTAAATTTCCAATTAAAATACATAAAGAAGTTTACAAAGTTGGTTTAATGGTTGAAGTATTTTTGTTTAGTTGGACATGAAAGTTCCGCGATAGAGTCATTGCAATTTAATTTGGCAATAATTGAAGCAACAACCAACAACTTTTCAAATGAGAACAAGATTGGCAAAGGTGGATTTGGATTAGAAGAGATAGAAAAGAAAATAAATAGTCATTATATTATCTTTATCTTAATAATTTATACTGTGACACCCTTACTACCCCAACACATATACTGTAACTTTACAAATAAATGTTTAAAATTCGGTAAAAAGGGTTCACATGAGAAAATTCAAAAATCGTTCTTCAATAACCACAATATTAAAGATTTAGAAAATGAAACACAAAAGTTTACAAATTATTTTTAAAATGATATTTACAATTCCAAATCCATATAAAAATTTTTAAAGATTAAAAAAAGTTGTTTAAATTAATTCTACTTTGTTCAGCAACTATTAAGTAACTCATGCATATCCTCGGGTGAGATCATTATTAATTTATGTGTTATTTTTCTTAATATAATTTTTTTAGAGATTTATTTTTAATAAGTATTACAATTTTTATTGTAAAATTCATAACATTTATTATGAAAAATTGTTTTGCTTAAACAAACAAATAATAGTACCACTTTTTGATTTTCACTTTTTTTAAAAAATTATTTATTCTTTAATTTATTTATCTATATTTGTTTAAAATATTTTTATTTTTACATCTATTTATCATTATAGCCAAAGACTTTTTTAGTAAATGTATATTATCTTTTATAATAACTATTATTAAATAATTCTTTTTTTCATAAAATAAAATCACCATCGTTATCTTTTTAATAATTTCTGTTATTTTTCTTTTTTGAACAAATATATAGAAATAAAATATGCATATTTTCATCTTCTATATTGTACTATATATAAAGGATATATCAATTGAATAATTTATTTTTAGTTTTCACTTTTTTTACACCATTATACTTCTTATAATCATTTTATCTCTAATTTATACTTTTGATAGATATAATACTTCATATAGAAGGTAAATTTCAATTACAGTGTCAAATGAACTCTTAACATCTAACTTCTAAGCAACACATGTGAATTAAAGTTTACGTATTAAAATAATAAAAAATATTAAAATAACAAAAGAAAAATAAACAAAAAATAATAATTGACCTATATTTCCTATGCGTAGTTATTTTACACTAACACAAAAGAGAAACTTTCACTATATACTTTTAAAAATACGATAGTTGACAATTTTTTTTCTGTTAATATCTAAAGCTTTTATCATAAGTACTCTTTTTTTTTTTCTCATGCATATCCATTATATAACTAAATCAGAGACCATCTCACTAAATATTATCTCCTAGTTTTATGACAACCAATCTTGTATTATTCCCATAATACTTCAAATTGATATAAATTTTTTAACAATATTATTGAGCCACACGTCTAGTTTTATTTTATAATTAAAAATATTAGATATTTTCAAAGTATTAAGAATTTACTTGTAAGGGCTTCAAATGTTAATTTGATTGTCTATATTTTTGACTTGTTAATTGAATGTGAACTTTGATATTTCCTTTCATCATCTAAAATAATCTAAATTAATATAACTGATATATAAAAGCTCAAAATATATTTAGTGTTAATATCAAGTTTGCATTCAATTAACATATTTACTAAATACCTAGTTCAAAAATAAAACATAATAATTAATTTGATTAATGGTCTTGGTGGATGTCAAAATATATTTTTTGTTGTTGAAGTAAGTTTGGTTATGTACTATAAACTAGTTGTGAAATCTTCAAAGTATATTATTAAAAACTCTTGTGAAATATCAATGGAAACATAACCATCATTTAGTTCAAATATTTTTTTTTTACTTCCAATATCTAATATTGATTATGAAAATTGATTGAGTTTCAAAGCACTTATGCTCAGGGACGAATTTATTTGTATGAGAGTGGGGCAGTTGCCCCCACTAAAAATTTAACTTTTTTTTCTATTTATATATATTATTATTATTTTTATGATATATATAAATTATATTATTAATTTATTAAAAAAATTGTTAAGTAATGATACACATCTTATAGATACATGATATTTGCCACTAAAAACTATTTTTACAAATATTATAAATATAATATATGTTAATTTATTGTTAAAAGTGTAAATCTATATTACACTGATACTTTTTGTATGTAACTATATGTAATATTTCTTATAATGATTATTTTTTATATCATATATGTTAAAATATATTAATATTTCATTTATATTTTATCTTATTGTGTAATTTCTTTCACTTTATGATTAAACTATCTTAATTTTTATTGTTATTATAATTTATTTTTTAACTGAAAGATTTATTACTTCTTTAGTCATTAAAGGTGTCATAATTTTGTTTACAAATATAGGTTTTTTTAATTTTAATTTTAATTTTTAACCCTTTTGATCTTGTATATGTACATTGTGTATTGGTAGGTGATGATCCAAATTAAGAGGAATGAGAGTAATTATCACACAAAGTTTTATTTTATTTTTACTTAAACATATTTAATAAAAAATAAATTTACTCTTATAAAAAAAATAGGCGTCATTCTCATAAAATATTTTTATTTTAAATGAACATAGAAATTTAGAAGAGATAGAAAAGAAAATAAATAGTCATTATATTATCTTTATCTTAATAATTTATACTGTGACACCCTTACTACCCCAACACATATACTGTAACTTTACAAATAAATGTTTAAAATTCGGTAAAAAGGGTTCACATGAGAAAATTCAAAAATCGTTCTTCAAGATACATATGCTTCATTGACTTTTGCTAATGCTTGCACCTATTCTTCATTGAGATGTTCAATATGTTATTAACTGAATATATATATAGGGAACATATTAACTGAGAGGAAATTTATTACGAGAGATGAGAGGTTAAAATATAACCTTTAGATTAATTTTTTCTTACTTGATACGCTGAAATTTGAGGGTTCGTAAAATTAATCTAAGGGTTATATTTTAGCCCTATCATCTTTCATAATAAATTTCATCTCACTTGATACGTTCCCTATATATATATATAAGTTAATCACCTATACACTGTGAGTGTAAAAATTTTACATTAGCAACTGCGCGGGAGAGCCTTGTGCTCTCTGGCTGAGTCCCGCTGAGCGCGAGCATGCTTGCGCTGGGCGTGCTGGCCCCCTGGTGCTCTCTGGTTGTACCGCGCTGGGCGTAACCATAAGTGCGCCGGGCGCGGGGATGTGAAATCTTTATATGTTGGTTGATGTTGTTTTATACTTAGTTGAGTTGAATTAGATGAATATATTGTGATGACTAATGGATGATGTTGGTTGATTGATGTTGTGTTGTATACTTGTGTTGTGCTATAAGTTGATGTTGAGTTGTCCAGTTGAGTTGTGTTGAAGGTTGATGTTGAGTTGTCCAGCTGTGTTGTGTTGCAAGTTGATATGTTGAGTAGCAAAAGTTGGGTTGTATTGAATGTTGATATGGATTGTTGTAGGCCTAAATGGCTGAGTTGTTGTAGGCCTAAATGGCTGAGTTGTTGTAGGCCTAAATGGCTGAGTTGTTGTAGGCCT